ACGAAAACGAGGCCGATCCGCCTGATCGGCCAACGAGTCCATCGAAAGACCTTGGTCCACCCAAGCTCTGGCCCGTAGAAAATGCGTTTTTTTTTTTCAACTGGTAGAAAATGCGTTTTGTATGCCATAATTACCTTAAAGTATTTCAATGAATCGCGTGTACTGCGCACGGATCCAGGAGTGTATCAAAATTCAAATTTTCATCAGCGGCCGAATGGTCTAGGGGTATGATTCTCGCTTAGGGTGCGAGAGGTCCCGGGTTCAAATCCCGGTTCGGCCCATTCCTTTTGTTTTGCTCCCTCTGGCGCTTCCATCAATGCTACCATTCGGGCTCTCAACTTCCCGCTCATCAATGCTTCAGCTGGTCGCCTTCCTGGCTTCCCTTTACCCTTTTGTCCCTCGTAATAGTTGCCCAAGATCGATGTTCTATTTTGTGCCTTGATTCTTTTTGTACGCGTCTGTCAGAATCAACTTTGAAGGTGTCGCGTTCACCCAGCTTGTCCCGACCACCCTTGAGACGTGTCTCGCCCTTCCTCTAGAAAAGTGCCTCCATGCCTCCCACCTGGGGATAGATGTTCGTGAATGGCCAGACCAATTGCTCTACGCCAAGGCACGAATCCGGCCCTCTATCTACATGAGTGGTGCAGCTTGCGTGTGGCCGTCTCATAGCAGCAGAAAGCCACCAGCATACATGTCTTTATGACGTCGTACCACGAGTTGCGGCGGCAAAAGTGTGCTGCCATTCCATGGACACAGATTCGCCCTCTGTTTGTTTGTTCGGGGAAATGGATGTCCCACCCTTCAGGTCCAACCTTTTGCCCCTTTTAGACCAGCAAGCCAAAAAAAGGTTGGTGAGGATAAAATTAAGCTTCTACCACTTGGCACTGCCAAGAGTCATGACGCAAAATGCACACTGCATACTCTCTCTACTTACCTCTCGAAGGGCTCTGCATCCGATCGAGCACATTGAATGCCGTGTGCACGGTCCAGGGCTGCGTATGAATCCATCCATGATCTGTATAAAAGCCTCTCTCTCCTCCCCCTAATCCACATCATTCACACCAGCAATATCAAACCAACCATCCAGGCCCAGCATCAAGCTACAGCATATTCTGCATAACAAACACACAACACACACACAACACACCATGACCTCCACAGGATCGACTTCTTTCGTTGCCTTCTTTGGCGCCACCGGTGGCTGCACCAATGCTTGTCTTGTCTACACCCTCAATGCTGGCTACCACGCCACAGCCCTTGCTCGCACTCCCTCCAAGCTCTCCGACATGCTCCATGCACAGGGTGTCAGCCAAGTTGCCATCGACAACCAGCTGACCATTGTCCAGGGCGACATTGCCGATGTGTCTGCCATCAAGCGCGTTCTGTACGCGACCACCAAGGACAGCACCACCCCGCGCCTTGCCTCACACATCATCTCTGGTGTTGGCGGCACCCCTCAGCTGCAAAAGTCGTTCAAGCACCCCGTGACCATCGACAACCCCGAGATCT